TTTACTTCCCTAAATCTTATTCGTGTTTGTATATGTATTAAAATATATACGTTTTCACGACTTTTGATTCATCAATTTATTTTTTTCTCAATCAACCATATCAACAATCTTTGCATCAGATGAAGATGCAGTAGCTTCCTCTTCATCCTGTTTTTCACTAGTAGCTTCAAAATTTTCAACCAATTCTGGAATATCATCATCATCTGCGCCAGTGTCTGCCTGAGCCCCTTGAGAAGAAATACTATTCTGCTGATAAGATTCCGCCAACTTACGAAGGGATGCAAGTGAGTCTGGACCCAATTGATTCAAAATACCCGGTACAAGTTCGGTGAGTTCTTTATCATCGCCTTGGCCGTAGATTGCAAAAGTATTCGAATGGATTGATGCTTGCACTAAAACATGAAAGTAAATTTGTTATCCTAATAAAATTGTGGATTGTTCTGACGTCAGATAGAACTGTATAATTAAAAATATCAATTACCCTTTGGTGCAGCGAAATGAATGACGTTGCCATCTTCCTTAAACATATTCACTTCTTCGATAGACGAAATGGGTTGAACACCGAGTTTCTTGAGTGTAGATTGGAGTTTCTTGTCATCGTTTGTAGCAGTCTTATAAACTTTTTTAACTTTGCGACGTGGTGTACCCTTACCACCTATGTTAAAATCAAAAAATCTAAAATTAAGTTCGCCTAATAAAATTGATCACCCTGCAAAGAACTAAAACTGTGACTCATTTACGATAACTATATGTTCTCGTGAATGAGAAGTTCCTTCACTTATTAGATAAAATTAAGTCTTACCAATTCGAACTTGGGACTGAAGTTTGGCAAGTTTAGCTTCATTCATATTTATTATATAAGCTATTTATTTTGAATAAATATATCACCCGAAGCAAACCATAAAATATTAACAATTATTGCTTTTTATAAATATTATTAATAACCGCTAACAATTTAAATTTTAAATCGTATATTACCTTTTCTAAGGAACACGCACCGTCGTTAAAAATTAAGAATAAAGATTAACGTAATAGATGAAAATTTTTTTTTGACATACGTACGTACATACGTGCGTACGTACTTACATTCCGCAAAAGTAAACCACCAATCAAATTCAAAGATCAGGTGCAACGCGAAAAAATAACCCAATAACGATAACCCAACATTTCGTAAAGTTGGGGTGAAATAGAAGGCACGGGAGAATATTTAGGCATATCTGAGAGGACATATCTCAAGCTAAGGCATGCTTTTCTTATTGTGCTCTATGATATCTATAAATAAAAACAGTAAATATCTATAATCACATAATAGATGATACGGTATTTTTGAATATCGATAGACAATCTTTGATCGGTATTTAAGCATGTCTTAAGGTTTTAAGCTAATAAATACTAGGAAAACAGATGCTGTTGTGAATCCGGAGTGAATTAAAAAAAATTTAGATTATTGTTTAATTATTATGTGGTTGATAGGCCTCCGTGAAATTGGTATGTGGAATTAGCATGATAAACTCACTTTTGACAAATGGACTTCAATGGCAGGCCATTAAAATTAGGCGGATACGGCACAAACGAAGTCTATCTGTCAAAAGTGAGTTTATCATATTAAATTGTATAATTTTTTCTGTATATAAAATAATGCGATTTTGCATATTAAAAAATTTATACAGTTATGCCTGAGTTATATCTTCACTAGGTTATATCCAGCGTTTAAAATTGGCTTGCACAAGATGCACATGTGCAAGAGTTTTTTTTAGATTTTTAAAAAATCTCCTAAGTGTGCAAGTAAAATTTTTCACAAAATGCATTTGTGCAAGTGATTTTTTTTTTGAATTTTAAACACTGGTTATATCCCAACCTGAGTTATACTGTAAGAAAGAAATTTCAAATTTAATAAATACAAGAAATATAAGTAAT